TGTTTCTTTTAGACAGCTTGTTCCAGAGAGAAAAGGAATATGACTGAACCCGAGTTACTCTTACTAAATGATCCAGTCAGAGTCATTCTGTCTCTCACGCAGCAAAATAAAGAAATAGAAGCCAGAAATGCTGTAATCATTGACCTCCTGTAACAGGGAAGGAAACAGTAAGACAAGGCGAGATGTTTGTTAGCTGATAAAAAAGAAGAGGAGGAGAGATAAAGGTAGCGATTTTCTCTACTAAGGACTGACATCTCCATTACAGTAAGAACAATGAAGACTTAGGATACCAAGATAATATAACTAGAGATGATCATTTCCATATGAACAAATGATTCGATGGTTAATGAGACAAGAAGCCATCACTTTGAAAGAGTAGAGTAGTTGTGCTGTCGTTGGAAGGCACTGCATGATCCATGACTGCCTATGTACATATAGATACATATTACATATATGTATATATATGAATGACATGTTCTATGGATAAATGTTATTTTCCGGGCAGTGCTGTAGAGATCTTTAGACGGAAAGCAAAATATAAACCAGAAATCAAGCCGTGTAAATAAATACCATCGCTGAAGCTCAGCGTGGATGAGAAGTAAACGTTTAGCCTAGTTTACTTAGAAATATGCAAATTCTTTAGTCAGCTTTCCATCACGCGAAGAAAGTAACAGAAAAATAACTCACAAATAGGAGAGCTGTTTGGCTTCACAGTTTTGATAGTTCTGTTCCGCAGTCCATAAGATTTGTTGCTTAGGGGGGCTTTCTGGTGGGCATGCTCAGTAGCAATGGCTACGGACAACTGCTCCACCACGGCCAGAAGAGAAAGGAAGGTGAGAGTGGGTCCCATCATCATCGTCAAGGGCACACCTCCGATGTCACTGCCTTGAGGACCTCCCACTGCACCCTACCACGAAAAACTGTTTTAGCACTTTCCAGTATCTCACCTAAAAGGCAAACTTTTGCCACATAAGCTTTGGGTAGGGATGGGGGTCGTGGGTCCAGGGTGTGGACTTCGGCAGTGTTGAAACCCTGCAGAGCCTTCGCTGTGAAGGCGCCCAAAGCAGAGAGCAGTTTCTCTCAGCAAGACTGCATCTTAGTTTTGACAAGAGAGAAATCCTGAGATGTTTTAAGTGTAAAGATTTATTTTTATTATTTGTTTTAGTGTGTGTTTGTATCGGGGGCGGGGAGGGCACTGGATCTCTCCTCGAGCTGGAGCTAAGGCAATTGTGAACGGCCTAATATGGGTCCTGCGAATCCAAACTGAGTCTTCTGCGCGAGCAACACATGTTCTTAACTGCTGAACGTCTCTGCAGCCCTGGTATGTTCTAAATCTAAAGAAAAGGACTGGAGGATGCCATAAATAAGTAAATAAATACTAAGAAATAAAGGATTGGAGGAGGGTAGACAAAAAGAAGAACAGAGGAGGAAGGAACAAAAAGCCATTCTGAATTTTTGGGTCTTTTTTTTTTATGTTCTTTAAAACCTAATTCAAATCACATCACCACTGCTAGGTGACGCTATACCTTACTCATGGCCCGGAAACACGGATCACTGCTCCCAGAAAGAGCTTGCTCCCCCAGCTTGTGCTTTCACGCCCTTGCTCTTTACAGCCAGTGCGCAGGCTCCACCTGCCTTGCTTCCCCGAGTTTTCATTATAGAAAACAGTCTTAGCTCATGTCCACTGACTACATGTTTTAGACTTCCTTGGCCAAAAGAGCTGGTCCTTATTGTTTGTCTGTTTGTTTTTGTTTTGTGAAACAGTTCTGGCTGTCCTAGAACCCACTCTGTAGACCAGGCTGGCCTCAAACTTACAGAGACCCGCCTGCCTCTACCTCCGAGTGCTGGGTTAAAGGCGTGCAGCACCACCGCCCAGCCAGAGCTGGTTCGTTTTCTTGCTAACATCTGTAACTGCCACCAAGGTCCTTCAGGGATGTGCCACTCTTTAAATTTGGGTTGAACTCTTTCAGTGTGCTGTTACGCCCTACTTAGATCAGCACCTACAGCAATACTGACTACATCTATGGTGCTGGTGAGCGTAATTATCAAGTAATTGGCTGTAGCACAATTAATAAAAACTCAGAGACAGATATTGGGGTTCAACCTAAAGGTCAGAAAAGAAAAACAGTCAGCCTGAAGTGTCTGAAATGGCCATCCTGCCTCCAGGAATCTTCAGAATGAGACCGTCTTTGAGAGCTGTCTCATCCCAAATTATATTTCTCTCGAGGGCTGGAATTAAAGGCATACACCACCACCACCACCACCACCTGGTTTCTATGGCAAACTAATGTGGCCTACTGGGATTAGAGGTGTGTGTCACCACTGCCTGGTCTGTAAGACTGACCAGGGCAGCTGTTTTACTCTCTGAACTTCAGGCAAATTTTATTTATTAAAATATAAATGAAACATCACTACAATTGACACCCCAGACTCCTCTAGCTTTCTTCAGGTAGAGTGAGCCTAAGAGGCAGGAGCTTGGTCCATCTGCACCTGGCTCTCCCTCCCTCAGGCATACTCAGCTCCTAGGCCCAGGTGGTGTAAACTTAACCTCTTTGAGCCTCCAGTATTCCCTTCTGTAAACGGGGTTAATAACAGAATCGGCCTTAGGAGGCAGGGTGGGGGTGCATGGCTGATTCACTGGGTGAATCAGTCACAGAATGCTTGTAGTGGTCTGTGACTGAAGTCTAGCTTGGTATGTCAAGAGTTAAGACTTAGGATGGTGTTGTGAAGAAAGCAGGGCCAAGTGTTGAGTGTGAAGCCCCTTGAGGGTAGAGATCCCTTACAGTGAGTGCTTCCCCGGCTTCATCAGGGAGCAAAGGGACCTAGAAAAGACTCAGGTGGGTTCAGCTCAGAATATGAACAAAGTATTAGGTGCTGTGTTCACTTACACTGACTGAGTCGTGCGGCCATGAGATCCCAGGCTTCCCCGTAACTCCCTAACGATACAGATGACTGGGTTTTCCATAGACATTCACCCTGTCGTGCGGCCATGAGATCCCAGGCTTCCCCGTAACTCCCTAACGATACAGATGACTGGGTTTTCCACAGACATTCACCCTGTTTATTTTCACTTCTCTTTTCTTTCCTTGTTTCTTTTGTTTAAGAGTCTCTAGCCCAGGTTGGCTTCTAGCTCACCACATAGCCAGGGATGACACTTAACTCTGGCTACCACATCTGGTTCATGCACGGCTGGGGATCAAACCCGGGGCTTCGAGTTACGCAAAGCAATCATTCGACCAGCTGAGCCCTAGATCCCATTTTCACTTCTCACTCACGTTATGCTTTCAAATCCTATTGATTTTCTTTTTTCCCCTTTGTTTGTAAACATATAGATGTGATTATATTAAGAGGATAATACAATCAAATTTAAATTTTAATCTAATATGCTGTTTCCTAATTAAATATATGTAATAGGGGTGGATGTGGTGGTGCGTGTCAGTAATCAAAACACTTCGGAAGCTGAAGCGGGAGGGAAGATCAGGAATTGAATCCAGCTGATGACAAACATACGTGCAGAGTCTGCCCCGACATCTTCCTGTTGGACCAGTTCCTGCCACAAACCAGTCAGTATATGATCATTCTGTCTCCATTAGGAGGGCTCCTTACTGCAGTGAAGGGCAGTTGAAATGAATGCCAGGCCAATGTGCTCAGCCCGAAATGGGACAGCTGCCACCAAGGCTCGGGGATCATTTCAGGAGAAGGTAGAAAGGTTGTTAAGAGCCAGAGGCCTGGGACACCTGTAGTGATACAGTATTTGCTGGACATGACAATGTTGCTGCATATATGAGCTCCCGGCAGCTCTAGTTACATATACAAGACTGGCATGTGGTCAGGTTGGGCATAACCCCAGCATGGCTGAGGAAGTGAATCATGAAGTTACAGCCCTAGCTGAGGAGCTGTTTATTGATGACGGATGGCAATGGGGTGGAGAGATTAAGCTTTCTTTTCTTTTCTTTTCTTTCCTTTTCTTTTCTTTTCTTTTCTTTTCCCCCGAGACAGGGTTTCTCTGTGTAACAGCCTTGACTGTCCGAGAACTCGCTTTGTAGATCAGGCTGGCCTGGAACTCACTGGGATCTGCCTGCCTCTGCCTCCCAAGTGCTGGGATTATAGGCGTGTGCCACCACTGCCCAGTTTGAGATTAAGTTTTCTTTAGGGATGCAGTCCGTTGAATTGTCCTACACTCATATGCATTAAGTGGACTCAGTGGCTTAAAAGGAAGAACACATGAATGAGGAGTGGGGAACAGGAGAAACTGAGGAGGTGAAGGGGAGTGGATTTGATCAAGCCATATTGTGTGCATATATGAAATTCTCAATCTTCTCTCTCTCTCTCTCTCTCTCTCTCTCTCTCTCTCTGTGTGTGTGTGTGTGTGTGTGTGTGTGTGTGAGAGAGAGAGAGAGAGAGAGAGAGAGAGAGAGAGAGAGAGAGAGGAGAGAGACAAACTGATGCGAAAAGCTCTCCCTGATATGCCGATGCCTAAACCAGGAAGGCCAAGAACAGTGTGTCTAGTGTGATCTCATTAATGACAGACAGAAAGAGAAGGAAAGGGGCCATGCAAGACCGAGAACCAATTAATGTCCATGTACACATAAAAGGGGATGCACCTGTTCAGACGGAGGTTACCTGAATCATTATCAGGGAGGATAGGCACCAGAGGAGACAAAAAACTAGAAAGGAGTTGGGAAACAGCATACTAATCTGTGTGTACTTTTGTGTCGTTTTAATTTAACAAGAAATATACACTTCCCACCAGGATGGTTTTAGACATTGGAGGGGAAATGCAATGAAGACAATACTATTTTATCAATAGAAGTAAATTTCTTTAATTACTTTTTCCTCCTTATGAATTTATCACTTACTAAAAGTATACTTCTCCCACTAGCTACAATCTTGGCTGTTTTAATTAAAAGTACCTAGATGACTAAGCTCGGTTCAGGGAGGCTTTCTTTGGGGGCCTGCGATGTTGTGTGGTTCATTGTGTCCTGTGGCTGCTTCTGCAGGCGGCCTTGCGAGCCTCCATCCTTGTCCGGGACTGCGCTGCCGCCGCCGCTATTGTCTTCTTGATGGACCGGTTCCTGTATGGACTCGACGTCTCGGGAAAACTCCTGCAGGTCGCCAAAGGCCTGCACAAGTTGCAGCCCGAGACGCCCATCGCCCCGCAGGTGGTCATCCGCCAAGCCCGGGTCTCCGTCAACTCAGGTGGGCTCCATCCCTTGGCGCCGGCTGGTCCCCAGCCCGCTTTGCCCCCAGCTACTTGACCTCTACGGGCGCTGGCGGGCACCGGCGGGTGCCACCTCGGCCGCCCCAGCCCGCGCTGCCCTTGCACCCGCCTCTCGGCAGGCACAAAGGCCTGGCGTAAAGGGTTTCGGAGCCAAAAGCAGTAGAGAAAATTGTGAAAGGGTGTGGAAAATACTAATTGGAGCCTTTGTCTGATAACAAATCTGTCCCGCTGCTTTCAAACAGGGGCATCTGAATTGCTGTACTTCTGACCAAGGGCCTTTAAAAAGCTGATTAGAAATCGACTCTTTTCTGCTAGCTCTCCTGTCTCCTTTCTGTAGGGCCACTTGACTAAGCCGACAATGGAGCTGACAGCCCACTGAAGCAATTTGAGGGTTTTCATCATTGAGAACACCGGTACAGTACCTGATTAGGCCTGAAAGTATCTTTTTTTCTCCCTGTCACTTTGAATGAAATGAAAACTGAGGCTGACAGGCCAACTTATGGAGCAGGGGAGTGGGGCGGAGGTGGGGGCTGGGTGGGTGGGGGACAGCACAGCCCGCTCCCACACAGGTCTAGAGTTATTTAAATTACTTATAATCTGCAAATTTAGAAACGTGGAGCGAAAGTATGAGAACAGAAATCAAATCTCCCCGCTGGAGACAACAAGCCCAACCTCCACACACACACACACCCTTTCTTTTGCTTGATTTCAGCTATTTCTGTTATTTTGGTAACTCTGGTCTGTATGAGGTGGAAGTCCCTTTACTTCATTTCTTTTGAAAGGGAACTGCAGAAACCATACTAAATGGGACGATTGTTTAACGCAGAAGGGACAGATAAAATAGCAAGGGAGAGAAAGGGCTTGTAGAGATTGCCTTTTCAAAAACCCAGTCAGGGCTGGAATACAACTGTGTGTCGAGCTGCTTGCTGGCATATGGGAAGGCCTAGATCCATCCCATGCACCACAAAAGCCCAAGTCCACTACTGGTAAATTCTTCTAACTGTAAATTATGCCTGTGACTTACTTTTGACTTCTCCTGAGTACTCTGGAGAAAGCTGAACATTTTGCCTCGTGGGGGGATAGAACCCATGGCCTCGTGTTTGCTAGTTAAGTGCTCTACCACTGAGCTACATTCCCCCAGCAGTTCCTTTGCCTTGCTTTTTCATTATTGCCCTTGTACCCATAACATAGGTGATAGAGAGTTTTTCCCTTGCCGAAGCCTTAATGTCATCATGGGAAATCTATTCCTTGACTCACCTGGGTCTAAAATAAAAGACCTGGGTCTTATTTCTCAACAGTGAGCTCATCTTTTGTTCAAAGGCATTTCTATGAGTACTACTAAAACACAGACTCAGGACTGACTCTTATAAACTACCCTAAAACATCTATACACCTACATAGCATTCAAATACAATGGGTATGTATGCGAAGTATTTAGAGTTGGCCATGTGAGGGAAGCACTGGGTAGAGAATGGAGGACTATACTCATCAAACAGGGCAAGGGAAGACCATAAAGAAGGTGGGAAGACAGTAGTGTAACTGAAATTCCCCTCAATCAAGACATTGCTGCTTTCCACCCAAAATGTGTCATAGATATCAAAATAACAGGTGTCAGGGAGACAAGAGAAGCCCCCTTAGATGTGCTGCTCAGCTGACTTCGAATCCAGAAGCAGACATTTCAAGCCAAAGTGGCAGAGAAAGGCATAGACTTCCCATTCCATACAGATGGAGGACTGAGCCAATACAGAACCTTCCCTCGTTAGGAACATGTAGATACTGTGAGGTAAAGGCTTTCAAGTGCCTGTGACTGACAGCATGGCTGCTCAGAGCCAGAGCATTGAACTCCTGCCCACGACACATATCCAGGGGCGTTTGTATTGGATATAGTACTAAGGAGAGCGGCAGGGGTTTGAATCTCAGTGCAGGGACCAAACACGGGACCCTGAGTCACATGATTAAAAATGGATTCAGAAAGATAGAATTCTTTTTTAAATATTTATTTTTTATTGATTTTTATTGAGCTCTACATTTTTATTTGCTCCCTTCCCTTCCTCTCTCCTCCCCTTCAACCCTCTTCCAAGGTCCCCATGCTCCCAATTTACTCGGGAAATCTTGTCTTTTTCTGCTTCCCATGTAGATTAGAAGACAGAATTCTTAAGGCTTTGCACAGGCTGTGAAAGGAGACACAGTGACTCCCCCCAGTCACCATGAAGAAGTTTCAAGGAAGCTTATTCAACCATGGGGGTCACATATCAGATATCCTACATATCAGATATCCTACATATCAGATATTTCCATTACGATTTGTTACAGTATCAAAATTACAGCTATGAAGTAGCAACGAGAATAATTTAGTGGTTGGGGTCACCATGAGAAGCTGTATTAAAGGTTCACAGCATCGGGAAGGTTGAGTACCACTGATGGAGAGAAAGCAGGTATACCCAGAGCTCTCCCCGTGAGTGCATTGAGCTTCTGGCATGTCATGGCTGAGAAGGATGCTCAACTGCCGAAAACTGTCATTGAGGACATGGCATGAAAGCAACTGGCTAGGAAAATGAAGGAAAGGGGAAAGCATTTTTTAAAAAAATAAACAAGTTTCAAATTTTATGAAATTACTGGGCAAGTGGCAATATTGTTTTCTAAGTGTTCACTCTGTTTTTCATTCAGTCTCCCCTCAATCCATTCATAAAAAGACACAGTGAATGGTGCCCCTGGGCAGTGCTGCCTGCCTTTCCTGTGTCCTTGGCACCCTGGGAATGTGAGGAAGCATGAGTTCTGCTTCTGAAGATCTTGGGCCGATGCTGCCCACTGGGGGAGCCAGGGACCAGCTAACACCATGTGCCCCCTGTGCCCCTCACTATGTAACTGGCAACAGCTGGAAACAGAGGTGCATTTCCTAGGGCAGGTTCCCTAGGTGTTCCAGCCCTGACCTCCTCACCTATATTCCTGCACAGCACTAATGGCAGGAGGGAAAGACAAAGAACTGACCATTGAATTTAAAGACCTTACTGAGAATAAACAAGAGGGATGGAAATGTGAAGAACTCTGAAAGCTAAAAGAGAAAAGATGTGCGCACGCACGCGCGCACACACACACACACACACGCACACACACACACAAGCATAGCAGGCGTTCCAGAACCAAGGAGATCCAGAAGTGAGACAAAACACATCTTTATAGCGAAAGTGTAAAGCAATCCTATGCCCTTCCTGGACCCAATGTGGCAAAACTACTAAAAATAAATAACAAAAAAAAGTCTTAAAGGAAACATGAAGAAAAGACAAATCATTAACATAGGAAATATAATTAGACCTGACTAAAAACATTCAATAAGGAAGGATGACTCAGTCGTTAAAACTACATAGTACTCTTGCAGAGGACCTGGGTTCCATTCCCACACCCATGTTAGGTGGCTCACAACTGCCTATAACTCCAGCTCCAGGGGATCTGATGCCCTCTTCTGCCATTTGTAGGCACCTGCACTTACCTGTATATACCCTGCCCATCCCCATCCCTGATCCTTAAACACACATTCAACATAATTAAAAATAAAATAAATCTTTGGCAAGCATGGTGACATACAACTTTAATCTCAACTCTCAGGAGGCAGAAACAAACAAACCTCTGAGTTTGAAGCCAGCCTGGTGAACATGCAGTGATCCAGGCCATCCAGGGCTGCACAGTGAAATCTGGTCTCAAAAAATATCAAAACAAAAAACAAATAAAACTATAAAAAAACAGTCTAGATAAAAAGAAGAAATATCCCAGAAAGCAGTGGAATAAAAGCAAATCTGAGACAAAATAATTTGAACCTACCTGGAATTTTATAACCAGCAAAACTATCATTTAAAAGTGTAGACAAAACAGATATTTTGGAAGATTATTTTTCTAAAGCAAAATTAAACATAGAAAGATGGGCCTCTTGGTGCACAAACCAAGCAAGGTGTGCAGTGTCTATTAGACCATGTGTCATTGCTGAAATAGGCCATTTGGAAATTAAATATGACACAAACGATCTGTGTCATTAGGGAAAGCCGTAGGAGACAATGACATTTAGAGGTTTTTGTTTTTGTTTTGTTTCCTAAACTTACGTGTATGTGTATGAGTGCAGATGCCCATGGGCCCAGAATTGGATATCAGAACTCCCTGAAGCTGGAATTACGAGAGACTGTGAGCTACTCAGCATGGGTGCTGGGACCTGGAATCTATCAGAGCAGCAACTGCTTTCAGCCACTAAGTCATCCCAGCCCCATGACAATAACAATTTAGTGACAAGTAAAAGAAGGAGAAAAAGGGGGAGAAAGTCTTGGAAACGTTTGAAATAGTAGCATTCCAGGCCAAAATAATTATGAAATGTGATAATGGTGATGTGAAAGCTAGGCCAAGAAATCACAGGAACAACAGGAAGCAACCGTGACAGCGTAGGATGAGGGGGGGGAAAGAGAACTCACACATGGGCACAAAGAAGTAGAAGAGTCCCAGTTATGCAGGGCTTCAAGTCTCTTCCACAATTGGAAGAGGAGGCAATTAAAAGGCAAGTGGCTGAGTTTCCTGTTTATGAAAAACAACAACCCATAGATAAGGTTGTAGACTTAAGTTTCTGTCTCACCCAGTTCTGCAACCATTCAATACCAGAGAAACACACAGAGGCTTATATTAGTTATAAACTGTTTGGCCTATTAGCTCAGGCTTGTTATTAACTAGCTCTTACCACTTAAATTAACCCATAATTCTTGTCTACAGTTAGCCACATGGCTTGCTACTTTTCTCAGTGAGGCATTCTCATCTTGCTTCCTCTGTATCTGGCTTGTGACTGACTGTCTGCCTTTCCTCTTCCCAGAATTCTCCTAGACTGGTTGCCTCACCTATACCTCCTGCCTGGCTGCTGACCAATCACGTTTTATTAAACCAATGAGTGACAAATCTTTACAGTGTACAAGAATATTATCCCACAGCATAATGTCCCTCTCCTGTGGTAGCAAGCAAAATAAACAAAACGTTTGAAAAAAAAAAGATAGCTGCAAATCTCTAGGCACAGGTGAGAAACTGTTATGTAAATTGTTCTTGGCAATTGTAATCTGTTGTGGTACAGCTTTCACAGAGAGGACAAGCACTTTTTGTCGGCGTTTGTCTCTGCTATCCTGCTTTCTCTGTATCCACAAACTCACTCTCTCTCTCTCTCTCTCTCTCTCTCTCTCTCTCTCTCTCTCTCTCTGTGTGTGTGTGTGTGTGTGTGTGTGTAAGGTATGAATCTAATTGATACTATATAACTTCCCAGTTTACCAATTCTGAAAATATATCATTTTTTTCAGTTTTATATATGATGTAGTTGTTGATGTAAATGTTAGATCCGGGTATTTCCAGAGGGGACATGGTCCCTGTCACGACACATCAATCCTATTGCAGAAACCATCATTAAATATGTGGGTGTCTGGAACCCACTCGTTGATATCTGCTTGCTTCTTCTCAGGGAAACTGCTGAAGGCCGAGTACATCCTGAGCAGCCTGATAAGCAACAACGGAGCAACCGGTAAGTGTCTCACGTGTCTAGAGCGGTGCATCTCTCAGGCGCTGCCATGGACCTCATCTATAGCCGCTTAGTCCGTGTTGGCTACAGGGGACTACCTGCGACTAGATCTCTAGTGAGGAATGAAGCGGCTTCTGTCAAGCTTCTTACTGCTCTCTGTTTCTGTTTTCTCTAAATTCAAGCGCAAAGCAAAAGATGCTTGGTGCCTCATTGCTTCATTATAGAGCACCTCAGCTAGCGCACAGTGACTGCTAATGCGGACAGTCTGTGAGCCCCAGCAAGGGCTCAGTGGTAGCCTGGGGCCAGAATCATGGGGTGGGGTTGGGGATGAAGGTTCTGGTTCAGAAGAATGCTCCTATGGCCTCATGCATTTCAATGTTCTGGAAATTCATTTTGCTGTATAACAACTTCCATAAAAAGTTACTTTTGAACTTTTTGATATTCAGTAACACATGAAATGAAACTTTAAGAGCTGTCTAGCAGATCATTTAAACCTGCGGAGGTTTTGTTGGGAATCCTGAGCATATCAGTCAGCAAGTTTCCCAAAAAGTTGAGCATGGTTTTTTCAATCAACTTTGGAGTTCAATGGTCTGAGATCCATTGGCTCTTGGTTCTTGAAGCTTGTGGGGTGCACACGTGTGTGGAAGACATGTTGGGGTGCAAACGTTCACTGCATGCCCTTTCTTTGTGGCCACCAACACAAAAACACAGTGCTCACATTTTCTGTTTTCTACACTATACACGCCCACCAGAAAAACCCATATGCACACACAAGCACATACCCGACAAAACATGCATACACACACACACACACACACACACACACAACCTATACGTGCACACACAGGAAGTAGGAAGAAAACAGTGCAGTTTCTTGAAGAGCCCAAGTCCATTTTTCCCACTGACATTGACCATTCTCCCTTTTCCCTTTTGCCACCCACTGGGTCAGCTGACAAAACAGAACAAAAAGAACAATAGAGTGCGCAGTCCAATGTATACATGTGGGGAAATGTCATAACAAACTCCCTACATTGAAGAATTAATATGTGCTAGTACGAAACTGAAAACCCAGCCTACTTACCCGCACACTCCAGACCAACTTCTTAGAATCTTACCTGCCTCACACAAATGCCCACATAAAAAACAAACAAAAAAAAAAAGTCACTCACCACTCCCTTCATTCAGTCAAATGACCAGCCAGAGTGCCAGCCCAGGTCTCCCTAGCAAGCGTCATTACATGGGTAATGAATTCTCTCCTAAGTTTTGGTCTGTGTGGAGTCATCACCTGCAGCATCCAAACTAATCTTGTGTGGTTGGGACTGACCATGCAATCGGATGCAGCCACAGACAGTGGGGTCTCACCGTGGAAAGATAACCTGGGGTTAGGATCTTGGGGAACATTCAAGATGATAGCACTGAATCTGGGATCAGAGAAAGAAGATGAACTGTTAAGAGGCCAGAGAAGAGCATCCCAGGTTGGAATGACGTGAGTACAGGTAGGTGCATGAAACAAGAGACCAGATAAAGGTCCTAGGGAGCAAAACCCGTTGATCAAACAGCCGCAGACTATATAGAAGCTGGCCCCTGTGGAGGCATGGGGATTGGAGCTGTCTCTCAGATCTAAATCATGTATGCTCATGAAGAAAGACATCTCTGAAAATAGGTTTGTTTTACCCTGCCCTTTCCTTATTGACTCCAGGCAATGTCTTTGTTTTTATTTCAGGTACCTGGCTGTATAGAAACGAGAGTGACAAAATCCTGGTGCAGTCGGTCTGTATACAGATCAGAGGACAAATTCTGCAGAAGCTAGGTACTGTCTGATGTCAATCATCCTTCCTCTCAGGGCTCATGTACGGAGGCTGGCTAAAAGAATTTACTGTGGCGTTTCCTTATTATATCTGGTCAAGACCGTCACATCCCGCTTCCCTTTTGTTGTCCTGTTGAGAAGAAAATATGTTTAAGATATTAAGAGCTGAGTTTAGCATAGTTGTATACACCTATGTAGTCAACTCTGTATACTGAGGCAGGAGGATAGCTTGAGACAGGAGACTGAGGCCAGCCTGAGCAACATAGTGAGATTCCATGTTTTAAAACAGCCACGTGGTGGTGGTGCACACCTTTAATCCCAGCTCTCAGGCGTCAGAAGCAGGTGGATGAATCTCTGTGAGGCCAGCCTGGCCAGTCTACAAAAGCAAGTTCCAGGACAACCAGGACTATTACACGGAGAAACCCTGTCTCGAAAAACCAAAAAAAAAAGAAAAAGAAAAAGAAAAAAGAAAGGTCCATAGCTCAAGAATATTAATAAGAGCCAGGCAGTAGTAGATACATGCCTTTAATCCCAGCACTTGGAAGGCAGAGGCAGGCGGATCTCTGAATTTGAGATCAGCTTAATCTACAGAACAAGTTCTGGGACAGATTGGGCTACACAAAGAAACCTTGTCTCAAAATTCCAAAAACCAAAACCAACCAAACAAAAAATGAATATTAATAAGAGAAGACCATTTTTTTTTTCTGTTAGTTGTGATTTCACCGAATGTGGTTGCTCGCACAGTCCTTGGAGTGGTCACAAAAATTTTGAACGAAGTTTTCAAACCCTAATTAGACTAAAAGGCAAACTAAAGGTTTTGAAATTATAATAGAAGATGGTAACTATCATTCTTATAAATAATGGAAATGACCATAGATTACATGTTTATGTATGTGTGTGTTACAGACTGTGTTGGTTAGTTTTGCATCAACTTGACACAAGCTGGAGTCATCAGAGAGGAGGGAGCCTCGGTTAAGAAAATGTCCCCATAAGATCACGCTGTAGGCAAGCCTTTTCTTAATTAGTGATTTTTGTAAGAAGGCCCCGCCTGTTGTGGGTGATGCCATCGCTGAGCCAGTGGTGCCGTAAGAAAGCAGGCTGAGCAAGCCATGAGGAACAAGCCAGTAAGCAGCGCCCCTCCACGGCCTCTGTGTCAGCTCCTGCCTCCTCGTGCCTGCCGGGTTTGAGTTCCTGTCCTGACTCCCTTCAACATGAACTGTGAGAAGTGTGAGCCAAAGAAACCCTTTCCTCCTAAGTTGCTTTGTTCATGGCATTTCATCGCTGCAGTGGTAACCCTGATGAAGATAGATACCAAATGCACGATAACTCTCACAGTTCCGTGACGATGTGGGAACATTATCAATGTACCTCCAAAGAGAAGAAACAAATTGCCGTGCCGGTCCTCTCTACGCCAGGTTTTCCTAACAGAAGTCAATGACTGTTCCTAATGCACCTGCTTTCTAGGTTCTTCCTAATTATTTACTCTATTTATTTATTATTTATAGCTATACTTGTTCATTATTTATCTGTTTGCTAAAACACAGATGCTGACAGCCTAGCCCTATTCTTTCTTTGTTTTTCAGGCATGTGGTACGAAGCGGCAGAGCTGATATGGGCCTCCGTCGTTGGCTATCTGACGCTCCCTCAGCCAGATAAAAAGGTTGTGTGCCTACACACAGCGCCTCCCCTCCATGCTTGTCTTCGGACAGCTGTCTCTTTACAACACAATTAATTTCATGACGTATCAAGTCTATCGGCACCATCTTCTTTACCGACCCAAGCCCAGGACCAGGAACATTAGGGAACTTCCTGGGTGTCATAATTAGTCTTGGCCTATGGCAGGTTTCTGTAATAATTCCCAACCATCCAGCTCTAAATTGAGCTCTCTGCTCTGCTGTGTCCATCTTGTCACATATTAACCTTCACTTGGTTCTGTGACAGAACCGAGATGACCATGATACTTACGTATAAAGTCATTTTCCATGAGTCCAATGAGCAAAGCTCCCTTTAATTGTGCATGTGATAACATTGTTAAGAAACTAGGAGCCAACCCTTGCCTTGCTGTTGGTCGTCTCATTCTCTCTGTGGCACTGTCCTCTAGTTACCTGAGCCTGTCCTCCAGCACTGCGTCAATGAGTGAGGCCTATCTGCTTCTGCAACACAGAGAGTGGTATAAGATCTCTTCCCGTGCCATAATATTCAGCCCTATTAACGAGATAAATTAATGCTGATAATCCAGTAAAGCCCAACTTCAAAGCAGCCATATTTCGATTCATCCTCATGCCTTGGGATGTGATGGTCTCTCAAGCCCAGTGACGTTTAATTCAAAAGTATCTCCGTCATCGTCATAGAATAATAACCAGCAGATAGTTCACCTAGGATGGAGCCCTGGACTGCAGGCCGTAAGATGAGAGAACGCCAGTCTGATTTGTTTGTTTTCCTTACAGGGCATTTCCACATCACTGGGTATACTGGCGGACATCTTCGTTTCCATGAGCAAAGCAGATTATGAAAAGTTTAAGAACAACCCACAGGTTAACTTGGTAATTGTCACTGGTCAAAAGCCTGGTTCAGAGTGGCCTCCCCTGGACGCCTGTCAATGCTGATTCTGGTTACCCCGTTTCTTTCCCAGTAGAGGAGGGGTTGGGCGCACAGTCCTTCCTGTGTTAATGGGAACAGCTCTAGTGGTTCCTATTTGTCTTGGTCTTCCCAGCCTCCAGCACTGAATCAAATATACAGAGGGTGTGGAAGTGTTCATGTGAATGAATGAGAGGAGATCCTCGGAGCGGCTTTCAGCTCTATACATTTCCTTTCCATGTTTTACAAAATTCAGTATCCAAACTTGGCGATAAAAGGATAACAATTTTAAAACAAAACAAAATCACAGTGGGGATGACAGAGGGAGAGAATTCAGTTGGCAGAACATTTTCCATATAAGTATGAGGACTTGAGTTGATTTGGTCCCCAACACCCACATAAAAGCCAGGCATGGTAACACGTGCTTGTAATACCAATGCTGGAGACATAGGAAGAACTTTGGAGCTTGCTAGTCAGCCATTGTAGCTGAATCTGTGAGCTCCTGGTGAGAGACATGTCTCAAAACAAAACAAAACAAAAAGGGTGAACAGACCCTGAGAAAGACATCCATAAGCCATTATTTTTGTTGTTCAAAGCAGAGCATTGAGGATTTGCTCTGTATTCTTACTCTAATATTACCATTCTTTTTTATAACGTTGTGTGCTGATCATTTCTTTATTTTTTTATTTTTATTTTTATTTATTTATTTATTTATTATGTATACAATATTCTGTCTGTGTGTATGCCTTCAGGCCAGAAGAGGGCACCAGACCTCATTATAGATGGTTGTGAGCCACCATGTGGTTGCTGGGAATTGAACTCAGGATCTTTGGAAGAGCAGGCAATGCTCTTAACCACTGAGTCATCTCTCCAGCCCTTGTGCTGATCATTTCTTCGATACAAAGTGAGCTCCTACAGGCCACTGTCCCCTCAAGTCTAGAATGGTGTCTGGCTCCATGGAGGTGCCCAGTCTGTGTTTCCAGAATGAATAGATGAATTCTTGTTGGTGTGAAGTCATAAAAAACCTTTGCCAAGAACAGTACAGAGATCACCAATCAGTCTGGATACAAAATGTGCGGTTTCCATGAAAAGGGAACTGTTCCCCAGTTCCCAGAGAGGCTCATCTGATTTACTTTGTCTAAATGTTGGACGTGGTAGAGCCTGTGAGTTGTGAATGCAGGCTAGGGATGGGGGCAGCTAGAGGAAGGGACAGCTGGTGCCCTGGACCCACTTAGACTTTCTTAGCGCTGTTCTGACAGACTCATGGCGAAAAGAAGGGATCCCTGGGCATCTTGAAAGAAGTGCATTGCAATGTCAAGGGCTTTGTCTTCCCGATGGAGAAACAGCACCTGCTACTTCACTGTTCATCGCTTTTCCCACAGGCCTTGCTCAAGGAGTTTGACCACCATTTGCTGTCAGCGGCCGAAGCCTGCAAACTGGCGGCTGCCTTCAGTGCTTACACGCCCCTGTTTGTGCTCACAGCTGTGGTAAATACGGGGTTTCCCATGCAGCAGGGAGGGGAAAGTCTAACCTTGAAGTAGATGCTGGCTCCTCGCTGGCAATTATGCTAAGACTCCACACGAGGAAAGTGCTATTGGTCAGAAGGACCAGATCCTGATGGCAGCCGAGTTCCTTCAGTCCAAGCGTATAAGACTGTTTGTTCCAGAGCAAGGGTTCCTAGGGCTGCCACCCCAGGAGCCGTTTCAAAACATGTGTTCCCGGGGCCTGCTCTGTGCCTGTTAAATGTCAAAACCCCTTGGACTAGCATTGCAAAATCTTTCATCAGCGGTTAAGAGCAAGTACTGCTCCTGCGGAGAACCTGAGCCAGGTTCCTACCACCTACATCTGGTGGCTTACAGCAGTCTGTAACTCTAGCTCCAAGCAATCCAACACCCTCTCTGGACTCCATAGACATGTGCATGAACACATAAACACACACATACATATAACTTTTAACAATGACTTTAAATATATATGTGACATATATATATAGTCAACTCCATATCTGTAAGTTCCACACCCTTATGTTTATTTCAAGATCTTTGGATCAAAATTTTTGCATCTTTAGAAAACATGTAGAGATAGGCCTTTTGTTCTTGTCTTTCCCAGACAATGCAGTATTAACACTGTGTTACACATTAGAAGTGATCTCGAGAGGATGTATGTACATGTTTTATGTGTATACCATTTTGTGCAAGGGACATCAGCATCCACAGATTTTGGTATCTACATGGGAAACCAATACGCAGATTCAATACACAGATTTAAAGCCCACTGCTCTGTTGTTTGGGTTATAATTAAATCAATACCGTTACTGCATAGAGAAATGAGTTATGTTTATATCCTGGGTGTGAACTGTATCAGTAAGACTTTTGTCACTAGAACCAATACAAATCCTGTGGGAAGTAATCTAAGGGAAGGAAAGGACTCTTCTTTGATTTTTGTTCTGCTTTAAATTTGGTGATGTTGTTTGCCTTTTTGCTAACAGTTTCGGAGGTTCCCATCTGTGGCTCACTGGCTCTATTACTTTGGTCCAGAGATTAGATAAAATGTCATAGTAACGGGAGCTATTAAGAACAAAAGGTTCAGCCTCATGGCTGCCAGTGCTAGCAGGCATCCATCCTCCTTCCCCTCTTATTCCAAACTCACTCCTGCTTATTGGATGGTACAACCCACCCTCAAGGTGGGTCTTGCATCTCTTATGTTGTCTCTGGTAAGTATTCCCAGACTTACCAAGCCAATCAGACAGACAACCCAACTGTCATGTGCCATTTGCTAAAATGAATAGCAGCAAAGATCACAAGTCTGCCATGTTCAGTATACAAGCATCAGGATGGAAGGTAAAGATAATGTCTTATCCTCCATACCAGTCAATGGCTCTTGTTGCCATCCTTTCTTACTTACCAAAACAAAACTCACACACACACACACCCATTAAACATTGGGAACCTTCTTTAGAATGTCTGTGGTGTGTATTTCTCTTTCTGTAATATTTTAAGTGGTTACCCTCCAGGAATTAAAAAGGTCGCTGGGTTGGTGGTGCTGCACACCTTTAATCCCGGCACTTGGGAGGTCGAGGCTAGTGTGGATCTCTGTGAGTTTGAGACGAGTTTGCTCTACATAGTGAGCCCCAGAAGAGCCAGAGCTACAAAGAGAGACCCTGTCTCAAAAACAAAAGTGAAGAAAAACAAAAAAGGAAAGAAGAAGTGCGTCTGGTTCTCAATGCACTATCTGACCTGCACCTGCTCTTCCCCCCCCCCCCGGAATATCCGTGGAACGTGCTTATTGTCATATAGTAGCTCTACTGACTGTCCCCCAGGATTGAAAAGTGGGTATCTGTGTGATGCCAAAGAGGCTTTTGAGATTGGCCTCCTGACCAAGAAAGACGGAGAGCTGGTTAGTGGGAAGCAGGAGCTGCACAGTTTCATCAAAGCCGCTTTCGGCCTCGCCACGGTGCACGGCAGGCTGTATGGGGAGACAGATGTGGTCCGCGCTGCAAGGCAGCTGTGCAGAGACGCTGTGGAGAAGCTGTACACCTATAGTACTTCCTCCACCAGCCAGGATCGAGAAGCCCTGTCTCGGAAAATCATGTCTCTTGTCAGCCAGGTGAAGAGACATCTCCAAGTTCAAAGCTTCCCACATTTAGATGAGAGATCTTACGTCCCAGAGAGTTTCAAGGGTGGCTTGGATAAGCCGATCTTGCACGGGCACATGGATTTCCAACAAATTCTTGAAACCTATTCCCAACACCATGCTTCCGTGTGTGAAGTATTTGAAAGCTCTTGCGGGAACAACAAAGGCAACCAGAAAGACACAAAACCAGAGGTCTGTATCACTGCTCTGAAAACAGAAACAAACACCATGGATACTATGGGTGCTACTCTAGAGAAACTGTGTTCTCAAGGGAGCAGGAGTATAACTTCCTCCCAGATGACTGAGAAAGACCAGGAGAAGCTCAGAAGGGTAAGGAGAAGAAGTTGGACCCATTCTGAGGCATTTCGAGTCTCCCTGGATCAAGATATGGGGACTGAGACTGAGCCGCCAAGCCAGAGCAATGGCAGGGAAAATGTTCCCCACACGTCTCTGAGTGAAAGCCGTAGCTCCAGTTCTTGGAGCAAACTGTCAGGCCTCAGCTCTTCTGCAAGTTGGGAGGAGGTGAACTGTGGTGTTGAGGATATGGCAAGGAGAGACTCCAGCAAAGCAGAACATCTTGTGGACACTCAGTGCTCCATGGCCATGTCTGAGGAGCCCAAGACCGACAGAAGCGGCAAAGCTACAGACTTGTTTTCAAAGCTGCATGGTGTCTTTCTTCAGGAAACTGAAGATCACGGCCTGGAGTCTACACAAAGGCAGTTGCACAAATACACGTCATTAACACCCATCCTTCCTCTCAACACAGCAGACACATGCTTGGCCACGGGTACGGGGTTATTAGAAGGCCGTGAAGGAAACCAGGATGTCGGAAATGAAGGACCTAGGAATACTTCTCTTCAGTCCAGTCCTTCATGTGGCTCTGTTTCCTGGTCCTTGTCTAGTTCTAACAAGTTCACAGACATGGCTACATATCCTTCAGTTCAAGAAGAAGAAACCTGTGAAATAGTTGGTTCCTTTCCAGAAACTAAGTTTAACATCAAAGACAGGTGTGGAGGAAAGAATGGGGGAAAGCTCACAGGGCCTGAATGTAATGATGGTCCCTCCTCAGTTGACCCGGAAGAGGAAACAGAAGAAAGAAGAGAAGATGAGCCGCCACACTCTCAGGTAGTACTGGAATCTTTAGAAGGCAGCCATTCAAGGCTGACGTGTAGCACTTCCTCTCATCTGTCTGTTCAGGGTGATGGCTCAGCAAAGACAGGCAGCTCAATCAAAGACCAGGGCACGGACCCTGACGCCTCTACAGAGAATGAGGAAGGCAAACTCCTCGACAGCACAGAGGTCTACCCCACTGGCCAAAATGGCGCTCACAGACCTAGTGCTCTGAGGCCAGGTCAGAGAGACGAGAGGCCCAATTCCTCTGTCAGTGGCTACAGTCCCTTCCCTGTCCTCGACGAGGACTTCAGCACCACAGAGGAGGAAAAGGACCCTGGGAGCCTGCTGAAGAGCAGCCAGAACTCCAGCTCCTCCTTACAGGGGTGGCAGAAACCACCTGCCTTTTCCAGCAGCTCTTCGGAGGGGGAAAGTTCATGGTCTCTTCTGAGCTCCAGCAGAAGCTCGTTCGCCTCATTGCCAGGACAGACCAGGCAAGAGGTCTTTGAAGCTCGCACCCTGCAACCTGATGACCTTGAAAAACTTCTGGCGGGAGTGAAAAACGACTGGCTGCTTCAGAGACTGGAGAATACAGGAGTTTTACAGGCCAATCAACTCCAACGTGCACACAGTAAGTACAACCTTTTGAGTCTATAGCGTTGGACTTCAGAATGTTTCTGCTGGGAGCCCTTGGAAGAGCTTTGCTGGGTATACCATTCACTTATTATGAAAGATGCACCATGTGATCCACCAGGAAAATTGCTCTTCTAGCTATGGAATTTCCTGCCTGGAACCTACAGTGAACATGCAAAGTGTACTCACTGGGTGCCAAGACCTGTTCAAAACAGCTTAAAGAAGTCTAACCTTATTTTTTTTTTCCAGACGCCCTTCTGCTAAAATATTCCAAAAAATCTGAATTGTGGACAGCCCAGGAAACTGTGGTGTATTTAGGGGACTACCTGAAAGTGAAGAAGAAAGGCAAGCAGAGAAATGCATTTTGGGTCCACTGTCTTCATCAAGAGGAAACTCTGGGGAGGTATTTACTGGGAAACGTGTGTCCTCAGCATAATTGGGCTAATTTTCCCTTTGCTTAAGTAGTCATTCATGAGATTTTGAAGGGGTTGAGATATGGCCAAAATGTAAGCTTTCAGATATTGACTTCCTTCTTCTTCATTATTACTCACTTGATAACAGTTTCCATATATCACAGAGCTATGCCCTATAAGTGTCTGGATGCTTCAGAGTTCCCAAAACAAAGAAACCAATCTTAACTCTTACAGTCAATCCAAAAAGCAAAGCAAGGCTATTTACGTACAAAGAAATGACAGCTGGCTTCCCAGTAGCAACAGTAGAAACCCCAAACAATGGAAGTCACATACTTGAAAATAGCTAATGCAGAGAACTATGAAGACATTTTCATATTAAAATAAAAGCGGCCACAGGAGTTTGATACTAAAAAATCCATGCTAAGGAAAAATAGTGTACAATGAGAAGAAAAGTGTCTCCCTTGTCACAGAGTGATGAGCCACCCTTCTGGAAGAATGTTCCAGAAATGCTTCAGTACTGGCACCCCATGGGGGTAGCCCTTTTGTACATTCTTCTGACCTCAGTCAATAAAGGAAACACTCTGGATTGGTTCAAAGCCTCTGCAGACCTGCATTCAGCGCTGGTGTCCCTCTCAGAACATCCCAACAGAGCATCATTGGGATGCTCTCTGATGCTGTGGAGGCTCCATCTGTGTGTGCACTTTTCCCTGTCAGATCCCTTCTCACACTCAGGAGTCTGCATGGTCAGAACTATAGCCTCTTTGAGTTCAGTTACATATTAAAGTTAGAGATTTATAAGGGGAGGGTTGCTCTCATTATGGTCTACAATGCTGACAACTTCCTCTGGTTGCTGTAGGTCACTCCCAGCACATGGGACATTACTAATAAATTCATACTAACTTACAGCAAGTATAATCACTACAGTGGCATATAGTACTGTCATTTTGCCGTATTTAATTACTTATTACTGTGTATAGTCTCTGTCTGATTATACTCTGAGCCCTTGAAAGTTTTATGTCTTCTATCTCGCGCTTGTCTCAGTACCCTCAGAACTAACACATTGGTGTGCCTGTAATAGGTGTTGGTAAAGTTAGTGCCCACAAGAATGAAATCACTCAAGAAAGGGATAGAGCAGGGCTTCATGCCAACTAATTGACATCTTTAAGACCATGCTGCGGACAACAGAGTCTTGGGCTCCAGACTCCACCATGTTGACTCCTGGTTTCCACAGAGATGTGAAGAACGGCTATGCTCCATTGAGTACACAGTGTCCCTTCACGTTGAGCACCATTTCAGGCCAGCTAGCACGAACTCTGCTCTCTTACAGAAGTGGCTCTTACAAAATTATTTAAATCTGAAGTTATAACGATGATAGTAATTTGATAAGGAACAGAAAATACCTTTTAAACTGCGTGTCTCTTATCCCCTCTCACTTGCTCTACAGTAAGGATCATTTCCCACGTCACCATCTGTGTTCTGTCCACAGATACGTTGGGAAGGAATACAAAGAGTGGAAGGGGCTGCGGCATCACTTCACCGATGTGGAGCGGCAGATGACGGCGCAGCACTATGTGACAGAATTTAACAAAAGACTCTACGAACAAAAGATCCCAACGCAGATATTCTACATCCCATCCACAGTATTGCTGGTGAGGCCTTCGAAAGCTTGAGTTTGGTTAATTAAACAAACCTACAAATGGATATTAGGTTTTATGTCTATTACGAGGCAGCTTCTAACATGGTCCTGGCAAGATCTTACACATCCAGTTAATAGACTTCTTCATCTGCTGCATCAACTTCTTCCTGTTAAAAAGATCCATGAGGAAAGTGACCTCTGCCCTCCTCCAACACACTCATTTGAACTAGACAGTCCCATGGGTGGTGTTAGAGTGACAGTCGACCCTAAGATCTGGTTAAGTTAGCACTCTCACTAGACCTTTTGTGTTGTCTCTGCAAAGGTCTCACTAGGTTGTATTTTGTGCAAATTAGTCCTTCAGCAAGACACATAAATCTCTCGTATTGTATTTCTTTCTCACAGTCCTTGCAACCAAGTGATACTAAGCTGTATCTTAAACACACTTAGCAAGAAAATAAAACCAAACAAACATAACTACTTCCCTTTTAAATTTCAAATTCAGGGAAATTCTTAAATTTGACCCAATCTGTCTTCCTCTATCCTGGATCCTGGGACATTGAAGCCATTCTGTCTCCACTAAACACCACTTGAAAGAGACAAAGGCAAATCTCCCATTTTCTCCTTTTTGGATCAAGAATACCTTGTTCCTCCATATGGACTGGCTCCTTCCTGTATTCATGCTTGTATGATTTTTTTTCATTGTCCAGAAAGACTTCAACTCATGTTTAGGGTTTCTAATATAGATATCATCTGATCTTTACCTTCACATCAGAAAGTATTCAAGAGTCTTATAGGCAATGACACTAACCTGTAAGCCAAGCTCATCATACGGAAATGCATGAGATATTACCCTCTAGTTCCACGGCATGCTCCGCTCACATGCTCTGGAGAGCCAGCCTGAGGCGAGGTCCCTGTGCCCTAATTTGTTTCACGTGTGTGAATATTTTGTCTGCACTGTTTGTGCATCACTGTGTGCTTTGTGCCTCTGGAGGCCAGAAGAGGGCATTGGATCTCCAGGACTGGGTTTATAGACGTGAACCGACGTATAGATGCTGGAAACTGAGCTCAGGTCCTCTCAACCATTGGGCCATCTGTCCAACCCCTGTGACCAAATTTCTTAAGTGAGGAATTTAATCTGTGAACAATAATCACTTTATATTTATTTTACGCTACAGGTAATGCTAGGTACTTTGTATTTGTTTCATCATTTAATGTTTTTGAGAAAACTAAAGACTTATTATTATTACTCTTAGACTTACCTCTGAGGAAATTGAAGTGCAGAGTAATAAATCTACAAGGCAAACCCTCAGTCCAAACTGAGATCCAGCCCACTGCAGAGACTGTTGCCTTCACCACTGTGCGTGTCTCCCATCTTTATGTTTCTGTCTCCCATCTTTATGTTTCAGATTTTGGAAGACAAGACTATAAAGGGATGCATCAGTGTGGAACCTTACATACTGGGAGAATTCGTCAAGTTGTCAAATAACACAAAAGTGGTCAAAACTGAGTACAAAGCTACAGAGTATGGCTTGGCTTATGGCCATTTTTCTTATGAATTTTCTAAGCACAGAGACGTTGTGGTTGATTTGCAAGGTATGTAAAGCAGGAGTTTACTTTTTATTTTGAATATTGCAACTGATTTCACTAATCATTAATCATATTTCATAGACCGTTCTGTGTGCAAGGTACTGTTTGGAGTTAAGTTGATTGATTTCACTGCATGTAGCAAATGATTCCTGAGTGACGTTAGCATCTTGTTATCCATGCTGTGGTCTCTTGGGCTCAGTTGCCGAGTGATCCCTAGAAGCTTCTGCTCACTTGAGTGGATGCAAATAAAATCAGTTTTTTGTTACCACATTTCATTTCAAATCCTCTCAACTTTTTCCATGGGACTGGAGGACGGCTTAGTGCATAAGAGCCCTTGCTGTTCTTATAGAGGGCCTGGGCTCAATCCCAGATACCCACAAGGATGGCTGCTCACAAGTATCTGTAATTCAAGTTCCTGGTTATCTGGTATCTTCCCCTGTCTTAGTTATGGTTTCTAGTACTGTGAAGAGACACCATGACCATGGTAAATCTTATAAAGGTAAACATTTAATTGTGGTGGCTTACAGTTTCAGAGGTCTGGTTCATTATCTTTATGGTGATTTTAGAGCAGATATGGTGCTGGTGATGTAGCTGAGAATTCTACATCTTTGCCCACAGGTAACAGGAAATGAACTGTCACACTGGGCATGGCTTGAGCTTAAGAGACCTCAAATCCCGCCTCCACAGTGACACATTTCCTCCAACAAAGTCACACCTACTCTCACAAGGCAACACTTCCTAATAGTGCCACTCCCTATGAGTGTATAGGGGCCATTTTCACTCAAACTACCACACCTGCACAGGCAAATTAATAATCAGTCATCAATTAGTTAAATTTTAAATCGTGTCTACTTTTTCTTTTTCTCGCTTTTTCTTCATAGTGAAAGCTGATAATTGAGTTTCATAGTTGGAATCTTTATGAAACAGAAAGCTGTGTGTACTTAAAATTGACTTTTCTTTAAATCTGCATTAATGTTAATGATGTTTCAGTTGCTGTATTCACCGTAATTCACATTAGTGAATATTCTAGGAAGAGCCCTTCAACCCAGTGCTCTCTTCCTTCATAGCATGTACAGCTGCCACCCCGTATGTGTTACATATTCATAGTTTACTGATCTGTCTGCCTTCATGAGATGCTTGCTCAGTAGGTTTTTTTTTTGCTTATCTTGTTTACTACTATGTACTTAGTATCTAAAACTTTTGTGTTCAATGTCTATGCTTGATACATAAGAATAGAATAAGCAGGGTAATATAGGACTACGTGAATAAGGCCTAAAGAAGTTTCTAAATCCAGAGATAAATGCTCAACATTGACATTTTAATAATTATTCTAAATGAACTTTATGCTCTAGAAGTCTGTGAATATTCATGATTGTAGTATGTCATATATGACACATGTGACAATGTAGTATTCAGCTTTCTTCCTTGAATTAATAATTAGGATATACATGTCATATTCCTTGGCAGAAACTTACAAAATATAAACCCTAGGATGATTAAGTTTTCCATGTATCTCTTTAAGCATGCCTATGTGTGTGCACCTGCGTGTAAGTTTGCACGGTGTGCATGTGTTTATGTGTTGACATTTCTAGTGCATGTGGTGTTCAGACGTATCCATTCTCTTTTAGGTTGGGTGACTGGCAATGGAAAAGGCCTCATCTATCTTACAGACCCTCAGATTCACTCTGTCGATCAGAAAGATGTCACCACAAATTTTGGAAAACGGGGGATATTTTATTTCTTTAATAACCAACACGCAAGATGTAATGAAATATGTCACCGTCTTTCTCTGACCAGACCTTCCCTAGAGAAATCAAGTAACATGTAGGCTGTAGGTTAGCAGCTTGATGCCTCCCCCAGGGCGCACAGCATGGCGAGATTGATCCTTTCAGCCATTGACTTACAAGAGGATTTGGAAATGTATGATTCAAGCCGTCGACTTACAAGAGGAATTGGAAAATGTCAGTTCCAGGCCCACACTTACTTGCCAGGACAAGATTCTGCAGACCTTGCTCCCTCTGACACGGGAACATGTCAGGGGCTGTACTGGGTTGTATATGATGTTGGAGGTCCTGAGGTGTATTGTTAAGACAACATATAGGATAGAAAACTCGGCTGAAAATAAACTTCTGTCGTTTAAGTCATTGTGATTTGGGTTTGGAAGGGGTTGTTTTTCGTGTGTGTGTGTGTGTGTGTGTGTGTGTGTGTGTGTGTGTGTGTGTGTTTTGTCTATTTGGAAGATTTTGGTTATTATCTGTTATGCTTGACAGTATTGCTGTTTTCCTACTAACCTGAGAGTTCTGTGTACATTTGAAAAGCTCATACTCAGCTGGGCAGTGGTGGAGCGTGCTTTTAATCGCAGCACTCAGGAGACAGAGTCAGGCAGATCTCAGTGAGTTCGAGACCAGCCTGGTCTAAAAAATCAAGTTCCAAGACAGCCAGAAATGTTACACAGAGAAACCCTGTCTCTAAAAACAAATAAAATAAAAAGCTCAGACTCTTCCCATAAGATACCAATTTTTGTTTTTCTTTTGACCTTTTACTTTTTATAAAATTGTTTTCCACAAAGAATTCTTTTTATTGAGATGAATTCACCAATCTTTATTTCATGTTTGTGTGTGATACCAGATAACTTTGTGTTCTGGCTTCCTTTCCAATTCTTCCGTGTTTCTATCTAGTGCATTTCTGTCGATGAGAGATGCCGGAAGAATGATCACGTATCCCATGGTTACCACAGCCCATTCTTTCCCCACAGCTTTTCTGCACATGAGATCAGTAGTTTTAGTTCCTGCTGGAAGAAGTGTGCAAAGGGAGGGCTGAAACACATTTGGGGTTTGTCTTCCCACTTGGGTTAACATAATCTAGAAACTTTCTCCTGGACATGCTCAGAGGTTTGTCTCCTAGATGAGCCTGCATCGTGTCAAACCAACCACCAATATTAACCATCGCACGTGATATTCTGGGTGTCTGGGTTGAGGGCTCATCGAGGAGTATCACGGGATTTGTGTAGAGGATGGACAAAGAGTTGTACATCCTAGAAAGAAATCCAAGCAGAGAAAGAGAAAGTGACAAACTGGTGTCATGGGAGAGAGGGTGACGAGCAGAGAAAGGAAAATGGGCAGCCACGGAGGAAGAAAGACATCAGATATCACAGATAACCAAAAACTGACAACATTCATTGGAACCGAAAAACAGCTCCGAGCAGGATGGAAAGGGCCCCAATGCCTAGAGTCCTCCCAAGGGCCCTGGGGGGTCACATTTTCTAGGATCCTCCCCTTTCCTGACTCTGTGTCCTTCTTCCTCGCTGGGTCTGCCCCAGGGTATCTTCCCTTGGAGAAGACTTTCCACAGTTGCAGTCTTCGAAGGGCCTGGGGTGTGAAGAGCAACCCTGGGAACTCTAAGCAGCCCCTTTTAAATTATAATTGACCTGAATTCCCCTAACCCTCCCTCAGGAACATTCTCCAATCCCATCCATTTTGCTGAGGTACAAGACTTTATTGTTCATTGCTGGATAATACTCCAGATGTATGAAACCAACGTATTCGCTAAAAGTAAGACCATGAAATCAGGAAGGAAATAACATTTGGAGGTCATTAGGACCCTTGTGAATATGAATTGGACATTAAATGAAATTGCTGAGTAGTGTTTTTAAAATTCCCAAGGCAAAGGAAAACAAAAATGGGGGAAGCATCCAAAGCAATGAAACCCTCTCTTGCAACTGCCCTGACTCTGGTGAACGGCACATAGGATGCAGTACACAAGTCTGTCTGCTTCACAGCTTCCTAATCTCCATGGTTTTTTTTTTTTTCAGTGTAAGATATTTGAAAGAAACATCAAATAAAGTCTGGGAAATGAACAGAGAGAGGTGAGGAAGATGAAGATTTTTATTAAGAAAAAATATAGGGCTGGAGAGATGGCTCAGAGGTTAAGAGCGTTGCCTGCTCTTCCAAAGGTCCTGCGTTCAATTCCCAGCAACCACATGGTGGCTCACAACCATCTGTAATGGGGTCTGGTGGCCTCTTCTGGCCTGCAGGCATACACACAGACAGATCATTGTATACATAATAAATAAATAAATAAATATTTTTTTAAAAAAGAAAAAATATAAGGAAAAGTGACAAACGGTATAAAATCCTACAGAAAGAAAAGAAACAAGGAAAACTAGAATACATACTGGAGGAGAGACTAAGGACAAGGACAGCAAGAAAGGCCGCTAACTGACAGAGACATTAGATGTCATGGAACGGAAGTCAGTAAACTAGGGTCTACAATCATGAGACAAATCTACTATGAAAGCTATTTTGGTACAAAGGTTTTTTTTTTTTTCAGTGCTATTCAACATCTCTATGAAGACAGAGAAAGACCATCCACCCATGGACTCAACTCCACCCTCCAATTCCCCAAATTCAGGGACAAGTATAGGGCAAGGAAATCCACTTTACCCTCACCTGTGGGCTCCAGGCCTTGCTAAAACCTCCACACCAACAGCTCCTTCTGGAAGAAAATGTGCTGCTCTCTCCCGTGGTCTCCAAAGCCTCCAAGCCATCATATCAGCTGCTGATGGGACCCAGACATCCTTCAACCTAGGGACCACACCTCTTAACCCCCCCCCAAACAGTGTCACCAATAGGGGACCAAATGTTCAAACGCCCAAGGCCGTGGGGGACTAGCCACTCTGTGTCCAGTCTCCTGCCCTAAAAGAACCACGAGACAATCAGCGCATGCTACTTTAAGCTGGCACATCTGAGATATGCAGCAATGGCATGAAGGGGCTGGGAGCTAAGAGCATCCAAGGCTTTCTAGGAGGCCTTGATGGAAGGACAAAAGGGAATGTCAGTCTAGGGCTGGGACCAGAACCCTAAAGGAGTCAAGGTTGTGGCTTCTGGGAACCCAACGGAAGGCCTGTAGTTATCAGTCTTAAGGCAACTGTGTCTGAGGTATCCTGCGGTCTCCTTTCCAACACTGTTTCATTAGCGCTCTGCTGACTCTGTTCCATTTTCCACCTCCAAACAGCAGATAGGATGCTGTACTTCCTAATAAACTTGCTTATGCAAAATCTCCTGGTTCCAGCTTCCTGTCTGTTTTATTTTCTCACTCCTGGTCCTCCTCCTCAAACCCTTTATTCCAAGCCAGAAATTCAGGTCATTCATTGGCCGGTGAACTTAGCCAGACTGATTATCTCCAGGTTCAGTGTGAGACCCTGTGTCAAAAAATAAGATGGGGCACGAGAGGGGAAGATGATTAGATCTCTGGCGCGCGCACTCACCAGGGCGGAAGATCCTAGCTCAGATGCCCGTGATGAGTAAAGAAAATTTAGTATCACACAAAATGAACTATTATCCAACCATAACAATGAAAGTGTGTCTTTGCACGACACCGTTTAGCAGCGTAAGCTCAGCTCAGACGAATCTGCAAGCTGTCTCCATGTGAAGGGCTCAGAAAGCAAATAAAAAGTGTTTGCAAGCTTTCAGACCGAAAAGCCCGCAAGGCCGTCCCCAGGGTTCCATAAGCAGTTAACATTGCTGGGAAGGATAACCTCTGACCCGAACAGACAAGCTTTCAGGGAGCTAGCCCTAAGTCACGGCTTTTGTGAATCATCACCCAGGCTGGGGTGAGCCGTTTGGTGACAGTAGCTGGCTTTGAGTCACCCATGCTCCTGTAGGTAACCCCAATAAGCTCGCTGATTCACTAAGCTAGATTTGAGTGGGGTAATTAATTTCGTTTGTCGTTGGTTGGTCCTGGGTGAACAGACATTCGCTTCCATCTCCCCAGGAAAGTCACAGAGAAGTGGCTAAGGTAATACCATCTTGTCCTGACTCCGTTTCAGATCTGCATAAACACTGCCCAGCCCTCCACCCACCGACAGTTACAGCTGACTTGGCAACGCTTTTGACATCCCCACGACCTTGACCATGGTCCCGATGTATTGACCTCACTAATTAATGTTAGCTAAAATAACTGAAGAAGGTACACGTCAAGAGTAAGCTCCCCAGATAGCTGAATAGCTGTCATAGTTCAGCCAGCACCGATGCTAATCTAAGATTGGACCTTATTATCCATAAATGGAGCTGAATGCTAAATGTCTTTCTATTATTTACCTAATACTATACTAGCACAAGTATTTCCTAATCATACGGGCTTAAAACCGGCATTCATTAACTACCTTGCAGTTTCTGTAGGTCGGAAATCGGGGTTGGCTTAGCCAGGAGTCTGTTAGGTGGTGATGGGGATGCCAATGGGGACGGTAGTCAGCCGGACCTAGAATCTGCATCCACTGTCTCTCACACAGTCATTGGCAGGGGCTTCTCCCTTCTGGGCAGAGGGTCCGTAGCCTCTGTTCCTCCTCCTCTTCCTCTGTAGGACCTGACAGTTTGCTTCAGGCTGGGTGGGAAATCCAGCAGCCAGCCAGGCAGCAACCACAGTGCCTGTAACACCTCACCCCGGAAGTGACATCATCACTCATGTTGTGCTGTCCTGGGACGGTGTGGGGAGGGTGAAATGGCAGGTTGGGAATCACCAGGGGCCTTGGGGACATGGCTAAATGCCTCACCAGGCTACACTGGGCCTGCAGCTTCTTCGTTTCCTAGCACATTTTTATTGTATTTTCATTAGAGCGTCTTCTTCAATGACCCATGCTTCCCTCACTTTGGCTTAAATAAGAGGATGGAGACCAAGGAAAGGAGGGGGCTGCGGGAGACGAGCATGCGTGGCTATCTTGTTCAGTGACTGCTTATGGCTCCCTTCTCCTTGCTGCGAAGATAAGAAGCAATAAGAGGTATCTGGGCCGCTGGACTTAAAAAAATGACTCTGCAGCCAGGAGGAAATTAAAATTCAAAATTTCCTCTATCTGACCCTTAATTTATACAGAAACCTAGCTTGCTAGGGGCTTTAAAACTGTCCAGTTTCTTTCTCCATCCTTTAACGTACCCCATTATTCGTCAGTGAACATTAATAATTCAAGGAAGTCTTTGGAAAGCTCCATTATCATTTTCCTAATTTGAACAAACTTTTATTTCATTTTCTCACTTATTGAGTGTGCAGAATTTTGTTTTAAAACTTGAGTTTCAGGAGTTAAGTTCAGTTTAAGAATACTTAGTCTTTACCCCTTCAGAGATGAGAACTATCAGGCAGGCAGTACTGACTTTAGCGT